GTTTGAACCCCCCAAAAAAATCCGACACATGTCAGAGGTTCTCAAAATTTAGGCAAATTACTGAATAAAAATCAAATTCAAAAAGGGTCGACTAAATTTAAACACTGACAGCCTGAGTGACAAAAGCACTTTGAAGAGTCCATTTGTCTTTTGTCCTTCTGTGTCTATCTGTATGTAAACGTAAACGTATCTGTATCTTTATCTGCTAGTGTGTATTTGCCTATCGTTTATTTGTGCATTTGACAGGGCTTTGTGAGATCAAACATGACTGGCGGCCATTGGGCAAATGTCTAAGCTTACATTTTTCCATTACACAAATGACAAAATGTTCATCAAAATGTGTGAGCCATTAGGGCAAATGTTGTGAAGTTCAATGGCCTATGGAAAACTAAGCTTTCGATAGGCGAAATAATTATACTTAATAAGGATTAAAAGTATGCAAAACTCCAGTGATTTTAGGCCGGGAAATAGGTGAAATAATTGCATAGCTTAAATACGGATTAAAACAGCTTTAAATTCGGGCATTTTCCAATTGTTTCCTTGGGGTGTGTGCTCAATATCCTTTTTATTAACTGTCTCTTCTATAGATTTCCAAATCTCTTTGTAGTTGTGACTTCTGTGTGTACTTTAAAGTTGTAAATTAATCTTTGTCACATAGGTTTTGATTCATATGGGAATGCCATTTCTCATGGCCTTATCTGAAGCATAAATGATTTTTTTTATGAATATAATTAAATATATTATATAATGATGATGCGTTTCATTGATTTGAGAACTGAATAATTTGTTCAGTCGTTATTTAATTTGATTAAATTGCTTGTTAATTAATAACTTAATAATTATAACAGTCTGCTATTAATACTCGTAAATATATCATAATCTACGCCATATGCGCCATAAAAAAGCTCATTTAATGAATAATTATTCATTAATCAAAGGCGTTAAATTAATAAAATAGCTAAATAAAATACCAATTGGCATTTAACCTACCTTATTATTATGACAATTAGCCAGTACCTTTATTACATATCTCGTAACTCCGAAGATAAGAACTTCGCCCCATTATTTCAAGCTTTAATATCGTACTACTATTCGTATAAATAATATCATACAATTTTCACGCGCTTGTTGCATTTCTTACTGGAATCAGCGCATAACAAGCGTTGGCTTTGGCTTACTTTAATCGATTACTAATCGATCCCAACATATTGCTCAGTTTTCTTGCAGCATTAAAGGTGCTACACATGTCCTACAACGTGTCTAAAGTTTTGCGCCATAATTTGGTTGAAAGTTTTAGCCAGAAGGCAAACATTTTCATAATCACTCTGTGGCAGAGCACCCCCACCCACTCTTTAAAAGTCACCTTCAAGCTGTCTGCAATCAAAGTTCAAAAAGGTGCGCACACACACACACACATACGCTAACACACTCATTCATACACATGTGCATTCAAAATGGCTGCCGCGTTACTTCCGCTAAGTGCTGGCACGCTCTGTGGAGCCGTTGGCCCATTCCGTGCTTGCTCTTGGCCATCAAAGCTGTTGGCGGGGGGTGGAGCTGCTGCTTCTGTTGTGTTGAATGTTGTTTTATTCCTCTCTTTTTTTTTCTTGTTTTTTTTTGGACTTTATTTCGCATAATTTTTGTGCCTTTGTGGGAAGGCGGCAGGAGAATTGGACGCCTTTGACGCCTTTCAAAGGCAGGCATCCGAGGCGTCCTTTATGTGTGGGTGTGTATTTTTGTTCCCAACTCCTTCTAATTGTTTGTTTGTCTCGCTCTCTCACTTTTCCCCTCATGTGTGTGTGTGTGTCTCTCCTCTGTGTGTCTTTTTCTGCACCCCTCCCTCTGTGTGTGTGTTGTGTGTTTACTCTGTGCACATCGGCTTTTGTTTAGTTTTTACGTCTGGCCAAATCCGTAAAGCAGCTCGTAAAGTTAGGCAACAACAATAAAGCTCCAAGAGCAACAACTAAATAAGGCATATGCCCAACGACAATGGGACCAAGTGCTTCAGCCCAGCCGTGCAACTTGTAGTTTTACTCTCGTGAAGGGTATAACGACTTTTTTGTGAGCCAAATCCCTTTAGGCATTCACACTTCTGTGGCTACTATCCACAATTATCCCCCCGACTTAAAAATATATCTTCTATAATTTCCTTTGATTCCTGGATATATTTTAATAGAATTCGAGATTTTTGCAAGGGTGTCTTAGGCTTCGGTGCCTCACAAAAGTCTCTGCTCTTCTTTTTTATTTCTTCATTTTCAAGCCAAGTTTTTTTTTTTTTGTCTCCCTCAAGCCGTTGTCGTTGTTGTTATACGTTTATTCTTTTATTTTTTCGAGGCTCAGACAACTTAATGCTATTTGCTTTACACACACACACTTACACTAACACATACACCATGTTGTCCCTGTTCCAACACCACGCCCCTTGTCACGACTGCTCTCAAGCTGCCTCTTTGTTTGGAGTTTTTAACAACTTAAGCACGTCGTCCGTATTGGTTTTTCCAGGCGCGCGCTCCCTAGTTTTCCCTCTGATTTTCTTTCTCTGGTTTTGTTGTTTTTGTTGCATTCATTTTTTACTTCCTGCCGTTGCCTTTGTGAAAATAATCACGCGCGCTTTGAGGGTGCTCCAGTACTAGTATGTGTGGAGCCTGTTCTATGGCGGATTTTCTTTTGGCTTTTTCACACTTGGCTACTTCCGGCGCGCCTGCCTTGGCAAACCCATCTATTGTTTTCTTTTAATTTGCCAATGGTTTTTCCTTATGTTGTGATAACTGGGCGGAAAAGATCCCCAATATACACACTGAGATACATGGTTCATTGGCTCATTGAATACGCCACTAAGCTCAGAGTCTCTCTCTCTCAATTATTCATGTAATATTTGCCAAAAACACAAACCAATCACAAGCACTTAGTGCTTCGGTTCTCGCCTTTGGTACATACGTACGAAGGTGCCTCACCTGCCAGCTGTCTTTGGCAACTGGCAAACCTATTAACTTTTCTGTGAACACGGCCACCCTTTGCTCTCTCTCTCTCTCTGTCTCTCTATGGCAAGGACATTTATCGTTGGAGCCTCTGTGTATGCAGCACTTTGTTGCTTAATTGATTTTAATACAGCCCTCGCACTCGTCGTCCTTCGCGTTTGAGTTCCGAGTCTATAAATTGGCTTTTTCCTTTCCTTTCCCTTTTTGCAGATGCAGCAGATGCCTGACTGCCTGCCTGCCTGCCTCTGACTCCTACTACTACTCCTACTTCTGTTCGCGTTCTGTCCATTTCTCCATTTCCGTTTCCGTTTGCAATTGCAAAAGAAGAAGATGATAAAGGGAAATGGAACGGAGTGGAGTGGAAGCAGAAGAAGTACAGCCAAAGAAAGGAGAAATGCCATTTATTGAATTGTATAAATTTCTATACATTGACAGCGACTGTTTATTCTGCACAGCCATAGCCATAGCCATAGCCATGCTCATGTATTTGCTTCCATATGTGGTAGGAAAGAGAGTGAGAGGGAGAGTAAAAGGGGCAATGGAAAATGGGAAATGGAAAATGGGAATAGGAACACCACATTCTGTTTTGTTAAGCTTTATCGCATTTGCATGGCAAAAGTCTTATGGCCCCACTGTGTTGGGTCAAGTGGCTGGCTGGTTGGGGTGCCCCGCCCTCGGGTCACTCATTTGTTCTTTTGATTGCAAAACGTTTTTGCTCTGGCTGCTGCTGCTGCTTCGGCTGCTGCTCTTCTCTGCCCTTCTGGCAGGGCTTTTGTTGTATTAGTAAAATAAATTACCATTTAGTGCTTTTTGCCACTTGCAAATACACACACACACACACACACAGACAAAAGGCACACACACACCACACACACAGATACACGCATACATAGAGAGCAACCCCTTTGGCTGTCACACATGGTCGAGTGTTGTCCTTTGGCTTTCAAATGAAATTATTGCTAGAGAGCTTTTGCATCCGTTTGGTTTCCTTGGATTATAAGCCACCATCTGCATGGGTGTATCGTACATGGGTGTGTGTGTGTGTGTGTGTGTGTGTGAGGGTTGCCCTAGTGGAAAGTGCAGGCCATAATAAATTGCCAGCAATCGCATTTCCGTTTCTTTATGCGCTTCGATTACGTTGCGCTTTACTTGCGCCAATTCTTTTGCTGCCCTCTCCCCCTGCCGCCTTGTCTCTCTCTCACCCTCTCTCGCTCCCGTAATTGAATATATAATTTTTTGTTTCCCTGCAGCACTCTACCCTCCTCCTTCACACATGTCCCTGCCTGCCATTTGAATATAAATTGTTTTATCTGCTTCTGAAAAATATTCATTTCAATTTATTTTACTTTCTTTCATTCGTTCGTTGCGATTACTTCTGCTCCTCCTCCTCCCCCTCCTCCGTCTTCCGCTTCATTCCGCTTCTATTTGATTTTCTCTGCTTTTCTTTTTTGTTATTTAATAAATTATTTATGCATTGTTATTTGGCGTCATCCGGCGTGCCATTTCCTACCCATGTGTTTGTGTGTGCTTGGTCCTACGCCGCTAAGTATGCAAACATTTCTCATACACAAATACGTGATTACTTTGTGGCGGCAGCGATGGCAGAAGGGGCTGCAAGTGAAGTGCAGACTTTTGAACATTTAACAGCTGTGTGGCCTTTGATAACTCAAAATTTGGCAATCATCTTCTTAAGCACTCAAAGCAAAGGGTTATTATATATATATACATATGTACATATATACATGTCTGTTACCCTGTACAAAAAGTAGGATTAAACGAGCAGGCCTACCACAGCACAGCCAGCAGACGTCAGCAAATACTCAAATAAATTAAATTTAATCAAAGGGTAGCCTCCAGTCGATACTCTCTGGCCTGCCCTACCCCTTCTTCTTGGATTGTTTGCTTAACTTTTGTGGCACTGAGCCGAAAAGTATGCAACCCGAACATGCCCTAAGAACATGAGCAAATTTAACTTTTGACTTTTTGATACTCATCCAACCCCCCATCCTCGTTTCTTTGCAGTGCCAAGCAAACCCCAGAATCTCACCGTGCTGGATGTGTCCGCGAACAGCATCACGATGTCATGGCATCCGCCAAAGAACCAGAACGGTGCCATAGCCGGCTACCATGTCTTCCACATACACGACAACCAGACGGGCGTGGAGATTGTAAAGAATTCGCGCAATTCGGTGGAAACTCTCATACACTTTGAGCTGCAGAATTTGCGTAAGTTTTCACCTCACTTTAATTATGCTATAGCTAAACGGAAAGGTACAGTCACGGCACATCGCCCCATCGCCCATCGCCATAGCCATCAAACTGTCAAGCAGCAGTCAATGGCGGAACGCGCGGCACTTGAAAGTTGGAACGCCCACGGGCCGGAACAACAGCCTACACCTCCATCACACAAAAAACCCCTTGAACCTTCCCCCTACTTTGAAATACCAATGGGGCACCTCCCCGGGAGGCCTCCCCGCGTGGAGGCCGAAGCTATTATTACCTCTAATTGAAGCCCAAGTCAAATTGTTTGCCAGCCGCTTTGTAATTAAATAGTTTCAAGTGCTTGCTGCCACTCGCTTGCCACTTTTTGTTTGTTAACAACTTTTGACGCTTATAATTGTACACCCACCCGCACCGTGCCCCAGCAGCGCCAGTTCCAGTCCTACGGCTGGAAAGGAGCATCATCAGCATCCCTAAGATACAGCCACACACAACAATTTTTGGTGGCATTGTTGAAGAAGCGCAGAGGCAGCGCCATATTAGCAGCTACTTAGGGGAGCGTGGGATCGGGCCGCTGCAAGCAATGCAATTAACTTGCAACAAAGTTATGCCCCGCATCAAAATGGAGATGGAGCTGGAGCTGGAGCTGCCACTGAGACACCCGCCTCCCCAGCCGCCATTTGTTTAATTTAATTATACGCGAGAGTCAGGTGCTGCAGGTCTTGTATGTAGCTGCCGCACCTGCTGCAACACTTGCCACAAAGTTTCCCTCGCACTCACATAAACCAAACATTTCAAAGAGTTTTTTTTTTTTTTTTTTTTGCGAGCGGGTGCCATAGTAATGTTTGTGGCATGCAGGCTGCCGGGTTGCCGGTTGCAGGTTTTTGGCTGCCTGGCAACATTTAATTATTTCCAAATTTAATCCAAGTAGATGTCAGCAGTTCTTGCTGTTAATTAAATCCAATTTAAGCTGACACCTCAGCGCCAGATCCAGCCCCAGCCCCAGGCCCAGGCCGCTTTTTATTCGTTCTTTTATTCCGTCGCTGCATGCAAAAATCGGTCCATTGTTGCCGCCCTTCTGTCCCGAGCATTTATTTTTTCTTTTTTCTCTTCTTTTTTTGGATAAAATTTAATTATAAAGCCGAACAGCAACCAAGCTGCCAATGGAGCCGTCGTGTCACCGTTGTGTTCTCTGCACCCTGACATGCGGTGACGTGTCTCATAATGAGCCCTGAAAAGGTGCACACACGTCTCTCTGTCTCTCTGGAGGATATATAAATACAGACGTATCAGCTGGTATATGCTGCTATACTCGGCATGAATGCATTTGACATTCTGTTGTCGTGGCATTTACGAGTAATAAAATCCTCAACCTGCCGCTTCAGAACGAACCCAAATGTAAATGAGGCAAATAAAAGGCTACTCTGTCCGCACAAACCAGCAAACGAATAAATAAATCAGCAATCGAAGTTTCAAACCAATTAAGGGGATGGCCGAGTGTATATTTTTTTTCTTTCTATAATTTCAGCGGTTTTCTTTAGGTATTCTTCATAATTTTTGCCAAATTATCTTAATGCAAAAATTTACACGTATATTTGACAGGACCCTATACCGATTACCGTGTGATTGTGAAGGCCTTTACCACCAAGAACGAGGGCGAACCCTCCGATCAGATTGCCCAGCGCACCGATGTCGGTGGTCCCAGTGCGCCGGCGATTGTCAATCTGACATGCCATTCCCAGGAATCCATAACGATACGCTGGCGCAGGCCCTACGAGTTCTACAACACGATCGATTTCTATGTCATAAAAACGCGTCTGGCGGGACAGGATTCGCATCGGGATATACGGATCAATGCCTCGGCCAAGGAACTGGAAACGGCGGTAAGTAACGATGAATGAATGATGGCAGTCTGATACTCATAAATCAACTGCAGCGTTGCCAGCATTTTGTGTCATTGTTAGCAACATTTTCATTGCTGTTTTGGCAAGTTAGGGTAGTTTGATGTTGCCAACACATTTGTTGGCCTTATTCTAGCAGTCCTTGTGATATGTCAATCGTGCTGGCTGGCTTATCGCGGCCATTTGGTTGGGGGATCCTCACCAAAAAACGAGAACTTCTATGATAAACTGCCTAATACACACAGATAGTGCATAGTCCGCCGCCACACCCACTCCGCACTCCGACACTCGATAAAAGAGTCGAAAATAAAATGCTGGCAATAATAATTGCATTTTTATGCAACAAACAGCAGATATACAGAAAAGCCAACACTGCATATGTATGTATGCAGTATGTGTGCATGGGGTGGGAGGGGAACGTGGAAAAGTCAGGCGTGGTAACTGCAAATATTTCGCAACAATTTCTATGCCGAAAAAATGCACACACACACGATTCCTTTGGGGGCTTTTGGGCAGGGCCAAAAAGGTGTAGCGTACTTTTGTGCGGCCACCAAAACCAAACCATGGCCCCAAAACATGGACACAGTTGCGATCTACCTCTGCACACATGCACAGGGCTTATCCACCTGCGAAAATAAATTAAATTTATGTTGTTTTTCCTGCACAAAACAAAAGAAACGAAACGAAACAAAAACGAAAAACGCCTTTGTGCCATGTCTTTCCATTTTATTTAGCACCGTGGAAAAAGTAAAAAAATGTAAAAGTTTGTCGTGGCGAATGTGGCAGAGCAAACAAATTTCGCAACAATAAAATTTTATCATACACAGCCGACCCCTTTGCCATATCTAAAACTGCAAAGTTACCCGCTTCTCCCGCTCTCCCTCTCTTCCTCTCTTTTTACCCCCTTTATCTGGTATCTGTATCTCGTATGCATTTTTTTTTGGTCAGCTTCAAATATTTTTGTAATTGAAATATTTTGTAGCGGCAAACAAGCTTTTTGTTGAACAACTAAACAACACGAATGAAAATCATTTTTATTTTATTTTCATTCATTCTATTTGTGTGTTACTCACCCATACATATGCATATGCACGAAACTTGTAAACATTTCATATGTACATATGTATTAATAATATTTGGGGAATATATTTGAATGGTATTACTTCCATTTAATGCTTGCTGAATGCTATCAAGTTCTAAATGACTCAACTACTTGAGCATAAAATGTTATATTTCTTGGAAATGCTTATCCAACGTAAAAAGCAATTAAAGATGCAAAATTGCATAGACTCATATAGAAAATAAAATAAAAGCCATCGCATCTGGATTTGGCAGCATTTTAGCATTCTGACAACAACAAAAAAAAAACTAGGAAACTAGGAAAACTTCGAAATCGAAAATAAAATTATTTTCCATTGAAATTTACATTTAATGTCTGAAATTTTGTTCCAATTCAAACGATTTTTGTAAAGAAAGACAGCTTTTCCAGTTCAGAAATACTTTTGAAATGTTTTCACTTAATATTTATTATAATAAAATATTCGTAAAAATAACTGCAATTCTAACTCCATTTCTTTTTTGCTCCTATTTCTTTCCACAGATGATTCTGCAGAATCTAACAACCAATTCGTACTACGAGGTCAAAGTGGCAGCGGCAACATTCAGTGTCATAAATCCAAAGAAAATAGTCTTGGGCAAATTCTCAGAGTCAAGGATTGTAAGTAGCGCATAAAGATATCAAAACACCACACCCACAAAACGTACATGTACATATGTATGTATGTATGTGCAACCTAGCTACACCTGCCACATGGCCTGTGAAAAACTTGGGATTTCCTTTTGAAATTGGCCAAAAATGCAACTTGCAGATAGTGGCACAGGCGTGGCATGCCATAAAGTTGGCAACGCGTCGGCGTTGTCAGTTTCCATATCAGATTACATGTCCAAAAAAGTAGCTGGCTGTTTCTTCTTCTTCTAGTTTTGTCCTTCGGTTTTTCCTTGGATTTACTTGAATTTGCTCTTCCTGTCCAAGGGAAAATATGGCAATATATATGCATAAATAACTGACAAAGTTCTGCCAGGAGGCCAGGAGGCTCCTGCCTATTATTCCGCCTATGCATTATTGAGACATGTTCGTTCGCTGTGTGGGCTAGGTGGATTTTGGTTAGGCGCCCGTGGCGTATGCGTAATGAGTGGCTTATGCTCATTTAATGGCGTACAACAATGGCCACGCCCACTCATTTGTGGCTAGCTGCGTTCCGTTTAGGAACAACAACAAAAACAACAACAAAGCCAACTCTTTCAGCCTGTCATAACAACATCCTTAATGACATTTCACCCGGAACAAACAAAGGTTAGCGGAGCGAGGAGGAGAGGCACCCCCCAAAAACTTTGTTGAATGCATAAAATATAATCTGAAGTTGTGGCAAAAATATAGCAATTTAGTTGACCTCGACCCGTGGATGGGTGGAATACACCTAGAAAAATTCGGACATGCATTGATGAATCATTAAAACTATGACCCTGCGCTTGTAGTCGTCTAATATTTATTTTTCATCATCCATTTAATGTTTGGATAATGCAAAACTAAGCATTTGCTATTAAGCTGAAATGTATCCTATTTTTCGCAGTGTATTTTATGGCAAAGGAACAGTAAACCGCAGCGACACGCCCTCATAAGTATGCAGCAATATTTTTTGTGGCTCCGCTCGCCCCAACCTACCGCTCCCACCACTCATTCATAATTCATTGTTCATTGTTGTTTTGGTTGCTGTTGGTGTATTTTTTTTTGTCTGAATTTCAAGTGGCCCTGCACCTTTTGGCCGCATTTACATGGTCCGCTTCCGCTTTCCGTACCAGAGCACACCACGTTGCCCTGCAAATGCCTCTTGCCTCATTTAAATCCGTTTTCTTCGACGAAAAAAAAAATCACTGAAAAACGACAGGACGGAAAGAAAAAAAGGGCAAATAAAACAAACAACGTGGGTGGGCAAGGACAATCAAAATGAGGGAGTGTATGCACTGACAACAGCGAGGGAAAAGCACACATGCACGCACCCAGGCACATCCACCTGTTCAATTGTACATTATCTTATGTGTATTTATATATATATATAAATTCTTCTTTGTTCAGATCCAACTGCAGCCGAACTGCGAGAAACTCCAGCCACTGCTCCGACAATCGCATAATGATTACAACCTGGCCGTCCTGGTGGGCATTATCTTCAGCTGCTTCGGCATCATACTCATCATCATGGCCTTCTTCTTGTGGAGGTAAGTGGCGCTCTATGCTCTTCTCTTCGATCTGCCCCATACATATATAAGTCACCTATATGGGGAAACAAGTGCAGCACAGCAGGCAGTTGCAACAGCAGCTGCTCTTCTTCAGTCAGTCGCGTGCAGCTCCATAAATAAAGTCGGGGAAATGTGTGTTGGTTGTCAAAGTGTTGAGGGGGCCCTGCTGCTCCTCCCCCAATCTGATTGAGTTTTAAAAATAACCCAAAAGGCAAACAAAATCCGCTCAACTCCTGGCGACTGGCTATAGCACAGCTCTATATCCAAATTTAATGGCAGCGAAATGTCAATTTCCATGAGTGAGATATTCAGGGAACATTTAAATGTGCACACCGCTTAATCTTAATTACTTTTGCTCACATTTCCATTTAATTTAATTTCCTTCTACTTAAAATACTCGAAAATGATCAGCGGAGCGTTAATAACAGCGTTAGTGAAATTATTTAGCCAATTAGCTGTGGTGCCTGCTCTCCAACTTATGGCAAATGATAATTAACACACAAAAAAATATTCAAAATAAATACAAATGAACAGAAAAACAAAACAAACAAAAATATAAGGGAATGTAATCCCTTTCCAGTGTCCACTCAATCCGTACCATAATTAAGGAAATAACTGGCATATCCTTCCTCAAAAGGGGACAGACCAAAAGCAACCAGATACCGCAGGCTTGCGAGGGGTTTTTGTTTGTCTACGAGTGTACCCGCACCCTGCGCACATTCACTGGAAATGTTAATTAAAATTCAAATCGCAATAACAAGGAGAAACCAAGAAGATGCGAAGCCAAAGACAAAGACAAGCAAAACAATTTTAAGTTACTTAAAATCTTTATTAAATGTAAAAGTGGTTAACCCATTGCCGAGTCCCAGGCACAGGACCCAGGACACGCCCCAGATCCACACTCAGCCCGGGTCCAGGTCCAGGTCCATGCCGTATCCGCATCCGGATCCGGCTGTAGCCACAGGCAACGCCTCCACACCACCGCGGCCCCGGCCACACTTTAAGACGACGAAAATGTGTAAAGAAAATGAAAAGCGTTTTTACCAACATCAATGGCAGGAATTTTTACATATTTTCTGTCGAAGCGATTTTTTATGCTGCGCGAATATGCGAAATGAAAGTTACCCAAGCCATCCAACCCACCCACCTACCCACACACTCTTGCATCCTTCAAGCGACCCGATCCGAACCAGTCCGCCCCACAATTTACCCCTTCTCGAGTTGCTCGACAAATTAATGCCATTTTATTTATTTTTTACAAATAAACGTACTCTCTGTGGGTGGGGAGAAGGTGGAGTGGAGCAGGGGCAGCAGCAGGAGCATGGGGCCATCCCAAGAGTGGTGGCATCCCATTCTTCAAGTTGCCCAAGTTTTAGAGCGGAAAAAATTATATTTTATTAAGCAAACAAAAGCGAATTTCTACAATTTCCTTTTCAATGCAAACAAATAAAAAATGCAGAGCAAAGTGGAACTAAGTGGAAAGTGGATGGAAAACCCAGAGCAAAAGTCACGCGGTATAAAAAAAATGAAGCAAAACCATGGAAAAGGGTTTGAATTTTTTTTTTTGTATTTTATGCGAGGGCGAGAAAAATTCTTGCAAAGTTGGATGCGCGCGGCTTGCAAAGAAATAATTTACATATTCAGTGCACTAATCAACGTTTAGTGGCAGCCACTGGTGGCATGAATGTAGGGGGATTGGTGGTAGGTTTTTCTGCGGAGAGGACGGAAATCCACTTGGCAGTAGGGGATTTATTTCAATAACTGCTGCACAGTGTGGGAGGTTAACTAAGTTGGTTGAAGGCCTCCTTCTAGGTTATAACCACACGGAATCCCTGGCAACTTTTCCATTAAGTGCAAATTCTTTAGGAATTTGTTATTGCAACAATTTGCTGCTAAGCATCTTGCTCGGATACCCTTACGCTTGCTTACATGGGCTCTGCTCCAGGTTATCTTAGAATTAAGTTTCTCCGGAATGTACTACGTACAGCACGCTTGATAGACAACAAACTTGGCTTACAAAGGTATTACACTGTACATTATACAGTCTCTAATTTCCGTCTAGACTGTTTGTAAACAGCAGATAATTACAAGTATAAATCATAAGAAAAATTAAGTATTTTTTCCAAAAATATAAAAGGTGGCAAAGTGGGTTTATACAGAGAGTATTATAACTTTAGGATACTAAATCTTTCATGCTTGCCCCTTTTCCCTCCCATTTGCATTCCGACACCGAAATAGCAGAAACAACAACAGCGGAAAGGGAAAAGTTTTCCCTCTGTTTCTGCGGCCCGTCGCATGGGGGGGACTCCTCGTGTGTGTGTGTTAGTTTTTCATATTTGATGCAGTTTGGGAACATTGTTTTTGTGTCGATCCCATAGTGGGCTGCTGCCCCCAGTGTGTGGTGTGTCTGGTTTTTCCTCTAGAACTTTTCCCTATGCCAAAAATAGAATAGCCGAGGCTGACAAGAAATTGTTTTCGGCATCGTCGTACTGGCAGCCAAAAAGTTGCCAAAAAGTTTCATTTCATGACAACGATGGAAATATTCGAAGTGGGTGGGTGGGTCTTGACAGTGAACAGAGGGAGGAGCGTGGGGGTATGGGTTGGCGAGGAGAAAAAATTGAGTGGGCGAAAGTGTCCTCCCCATCTGGAATTGACTTAATCAAGAGTAGCTGACATAACGGTATCAACTAGTGTTGGGAAACACTATGATTGCTGGCAATGCATTTTTTTCTGTGGCTTTCCATCAATTAAAAATCCACAAATGTCGATTCCTTATATGGCAACAAGTACTTTTTCAATACGTTGCTCAATTCGTTAATTGATGAGTGCTGTCTGGGGGGTAAGGGTAACAACAGCAAAAGTTGTACAATATTAATTAGGCAAGCTTTTCCTGTAAACAACAAACCGATTCGTAGAGCCCCAGAGAGATTGTTGTTCATTAAACGTGTTTATTATAATTAATGATTATTATCCATGCGAGTGCGAAGGTTAATCCAAAGTCACATGCGACATGGGGTAGGGGTGGAGGAGATAAGATAGAAAGATTGACATCAAGTGAATTGAAATGAAGTCCGAGTACGTACTATGTACTACGTGCATTTGTTGTTATCAAAACAGCTGATTCGCTCACTCTCAAAACAGCCAGCCAGCCAGAGAGCAGCTCTCTGAAAGCTCAAACTCATTCAATGTGCGCGCTCTCCACATGCGTCGTTCGCTCTTGCGCTGCTTGTCTCTCGCTCGCTCTGGGCTAGGGCCAAAGATCAGGCGGCAGCAGCTGAAACAAAAGCTTTGGCACTGCGCCGATCTCTCATTGACATGATTTTCATTTGTCAAAAACACGCGCCTCTGAACTGTATACGAACTGGTTTCGCTCGCGCTGCGAACTTGGCCAAAAAGAAAAACCCTTCTCCGCCTAAAGTACCTTATCAATACGAAAATACAATAAAAAAAAAGCGATACAGACAGATTGCGTTTTTCCCCCGTATCTGTATCTGTGTGTGTTTTGTGGCGTCATAACGAAAGCCTCATTAGGCAGCGGAGTGTGCGTTTTGTGTGTTTTTTTTTTGCGTAGTTATCCGCGTACGAGACTCGTAATTTTGCAAGTGCCCCGGCGACACACAGGCCTGCATTGTACACATATGACGTAATTTGTGTGTGTGTAAATATGTAAGCACTGCCATGCAATTCTAGAGAAGAGACCCACACACACTGCACTGCACCTCAGCTCAGCTCAGCTCACCCCAACCCAGCCCGGCGCACCATGTCAGGTGGCGCGGAAAAGCTCAGTCGAAGCGGCAGCGGGTGCGGCAACGCTAGCAGCCCCATGCTGCTGACTCCAACAACATCGTCGCCAAGGCTGTTGCGGCGTAAATCGCAACGTGGAAATTGGTTTACGTAAGTCCCTCGCGCTGCACCACACCCCGCCGCGCTGCACACGCCACACGACAGATCATCAAGTGGGTCATTTAGCGTAATTCTCACGTGTGTGCAAAAAACCATAAAAAAAAATTAACCTGAAGCTGGAGATAGAGAGATTACCCACAGAAGTGGTGGGGTACAACATCTCGAGAGAAGTCAAAGTCAGATGCATAATTTAAATGGTTAGAAACCAAAACGGAAGTAGCAAAAATAAATAAATTTCGGTGCGTAATAGAGAACGCAAGAATAACAAAAGTCGTTGGTTGATAAACAACAACAGAAGTTGGGAGACAGAGTGACAAAATTTGAGGGGGGGAGACAGAGCTTCAACTTCGAATCAAGAAAAACATATGTAAATAGATTCCATCGAATTTCTTATTTTTTGTGCACTTTTTTTTTTGTTCGCAACTAAATAAACAAAAAGCTGAATTTATATTCGCTGGCTCTGTGGCCTGAGCTTTTGATAAGAATAATTGGGAAAAATTATCAAATGTTGTCGATTCCCATTTCCAGTAAAAATCACAACTTTTGTTTATGCTCCAAAACTTCGTTTGTGTAAACAATGGCATAATGTTGGCAGCTGAGGGGAATTCTGGGGAGACAGCTCTGTGTCAGCCTCGTTCTAAGGGGCAAAATATTGAGGGAGACACACAAATTGTATAGAAACAAAAAAAAAAATGTGATATCAGCACTTGGCATTAGAACCGCAAATATGTACAAATAGATAAGCAGAGTCATCGCCTTCTGATCGAGACAGCTTGGCAACCAATGCATTAAGGGTACTCGCCTAAATGTTTTAAATTTAACTTAAATTTATCAATTTATTAATTTTCTGTAATCGATCTGATCCAATCAAATGTCAATTTTAAAATTAAATGAATATGATATCAATGCAGCCAAATCTCAGAATTTGTATTCGTATTTCATGAAAAGCAACGAACCGCAGGAAAGAACAAACACAGCAATGGGGCAAAACCCAATGAAAAGTTTCTATGGCCTGGGCCACTCAATTCCCATTATGGCCGGCACTTTCACCCAAGTCTAGCATCCAGCTGCAGAATATCCAACATCCAGCAGCAGCAACAACAACAACAAAAGCTGCTGCATGCAACTGCAAGCTGAAAATTTTGCTGTAAACTTGGCAAGTTCTTTGCGCGCTCTCTTTCTGAAGTGTACTGCGAAAACTTGGAGGCAAAAGTTTTGCGCTCCTTGTAATCGCTTAAGCCAATTACAAAACTTAACCTCAATTTGTATGTCCTGGGGGTTGGGCTTGACGATAGGGGGAGGTGGATGGGGTTTTTTGGGGCACCAAATACTTAGTCTCGTATTGAAATTGAACAAGGAGCCATAATAATGCTCACCTGGGCGACACCTTTTGTCATTGTGTCACTCATTTAAAGCAGCTTTGCGCAAATATTTGCACAAAACTTACACAATTTTACCAAAGGATGAGGATGATGATGCCATTCAAGGAGCGCCAACATAGGACCATGGAATGAATATTTCTATCATGGAATTACTCCTTTATGCCTGACTGCAGCTGAATGCCATTAGTGCGCTGACCAACCACCCACTCGCCTACTCTACTGCTCTACTGCTCCTGCTCCTTCTCCCTGTTGCCTACTTATTTATGCATTTTGATTTTGTTAAGAGCATGCCATGCCACACCACGCCACGCCCACCTGACACCTTTGCTGATGACGCCGGGCGTAACTGATTGCAGCTGTTTTTTCATAATATTCACAAGTTTTGCAAAGAAAATGAATTTACAAAAGTAGCTCCATCATTTCAATAGAAAAAGGAACTGCTGCAGGGAGAGTCCTTTGGTGCCTGGTCAGTGTGAATTGTGACCCAGTTGCTGCTGCTGCTGTTCCTTCCACTAAGATTACAACTGAAAAGAAAGAGACCCTGACAAACCTGATTAACACTTGAATTTTTGTATTAACTACTTTCAGCAGAAAGTGCTTCCATGCCGCCTACTACTATCTGGACGATCCGCCACACCATCCGAATGCCCCGCAGGTGGACTGGGAGGTGCCAGTCAAGATTGGCGACGAGATTCGTGCCGCAGTGCCCGTGAATGAGTTCTCCAAGCATGTGGCCTCGCTGCATGCGGATGGCGACATTGGCTTCAGCAGGGAGTACGAGGCTATTCAGAACGAGTGCATCAGTGACGACCTGCCCTGCGAACACTCCCAGCACCCGGAGAACAAGCGCAAGAATCGCTATCTGAACATCACAGCCTGTAAGTGAATCGGATAAGCACAGCCTCTAATCAATATCCGAGTACATATTTTCATCGATCCATTTATAGACGATCACAGTCGCGTCCATCTGCATCCCACGCCGGGACAGAAGAAGAACCTGGACTACATCAATGCCAACTTCATAGATGGCTACCAGAAGGCGCATGCCTTCATCGGCACCCAGGGCCCGCTGCCCGACACCTTCGACTGCTTCTGGCGCATGATCTGGGAGCAGCGGGTGGCCATCATTGTGATGATCACGAATCTGGTGGAGCGCGGCCGACGCAAGTGCGACATGTACTGGCCCAAGGATGGCGTCGAGACCTATGGCGTCATTCAGGTGAAGCTCATCGAAGAGGAGGTCATGTCCACGTACACGGTTCGCACGCTACAGATCAAGCATCTGAAGGTGAGTGTTCTCCACACACTCCTCACTCCTTTCACGGCATTAATTGATGTAATTTCTCCCACAGTTAAAGAAAAAGAAGCAGTGCTATACGGAGAAGCTTGTGTACCAATATCACTATACGAATTGGCCAGACCATGGCACACCGGATCATCCATTGCCCGTGCTGAATTTCGTAAAGAAATCCTCGGCTGCCAATCCCGCCGAGGCTGGTCCCATTGTCGTGCACTGCAGGTGAGTCCCACACTCCACACACACTCCATCTATATAAATTCCTAGCTAAACCATTTTCTTTCTTGTGCTATTTTAGCGCTGGCGTTGGTCGCACTGGCACCTACATCGTACTGGACGCCATGCTCAAGCAGATCCAACAGAAATCGATTGTGAATGTGTTTGGCTTTCTGCGTCACATACGCGCCCAGCGTAATTTCCTTGTCCAGACCGAGGAGCAGTATATATTCCTGCACGACGCACTCGTCGAGGCCATAGCTTCGGGCGAGACCAATTTGGCGAGCGACCAAGTGGAGGAGCTAAGGAACTGCACGCCGTATTTGGAGCAGCAGTACAAGAACATTATCCAGTTCCAGCCCAAGGACATACACATTGCGTCGGCCATGAAGCAGGTCAACTCGATCAAGAATCGCGGCGCCATCTTCCCCATCGAGGGCAGTCGGGTGCATCTGACCCCCAAGCCGGGCGAGGATGGCAGCGACTATATCAATGCTTCGTGGCTGCATGGCTTCCGGCGGTTGCGCGACTTCATTGTCACCCAACATCCCATGGCCCACACGATAAAAGATTTCTGGCAAATGGTCTGGGATCACAATGCCCAGACAGTCGTTCTGCTCTCCTCCCTCGATGATATAGTAAGTCAAACGAATAAATAATTATTTCTGAGTGGATTAAAACCTTTTGTTCCGCATAGAACTTTGCCCAGTTCTGGCCGGATGAGGCCACGCCCATCGAGAGCGATCACTATCGCGTGAAATATCTGAACAAGACCAACAAGAGCGACTATGTGACCCGGGACTTTGTCATTCAGTCGATACAGGATGACTACGAGCTGACGGTCAAAATGCTGCACTGTCCCAGCTGGCCGGAGATGTCCAATCCGAACAGCATCTACGACTTCATTGTGGATGTCCACGAGCGCTGCAATGACTATCGCAATGGACCAATTGTAATAGTAGACAGGTAAATACCGTGCCTCCGCCTTTACTGATATCAGTTTCTGTATTATTATTATTTTGTTTATACATTTTTTTAGGTACGGTGGGGCGCAAGCGTGCACTTTTTGTGCCATCTCATCGCTGGCCATTGAGATGGAATACTGCAGCACAGCGAATGTGTATCAGTATGCCAAGCTGTATCACAATAAGCGGCCCGGTGTGTGGACATCCAGCGAGGATATACGCGTCATCTACAATATACTTTCATTTTTGCCTGGCAATTTGAATCTGCTGAAGCGCACGGCGCTACGCACTGAATTCGAGGATGTGACAACGGCCACGCCGGATCTCTATAGCAAAATATGCAGCAATGGTAATGTTCCACAGCACATAATACTCCAGCAGCAGCAGCTGCTGCAGCAACAGCAATACCAACAACATCAACAGCAACAACAACAGCAACAACAGCAGTTGCAGCTACAGCTGCAACAGCAGCCACTAGCATTCGCACAAGCACAACCACAAACACAAACACAGACCACCCGTAGTCATAGTGAACTAAATGAGACAGCATCCAATTCACCCACCAATACTAATCCCAGCCTCTTGCCCAATCTCATCATTGTTACCGCCCACAGTTGTTCCAACATCCATAACATCCACACCGCCATCACCATCACCACCACCACCACCAATTTCTCCATCACCATCACCACCAACAGTCCAACTCCTACAGTCACCACCGTCACCACCATCACAGCGAGATATGCCCAGTCCGAGTGGCACTGCAACAACAGGCACTGCAACACCAACACCTACAACAACAACAACACCAATACCAATCATACCCACAACAGCATCCCCAACAAATCTAACCCATACTAATGCCAATTTCCATACTGTTACTAATAATGCTGCTCATATGGTGAACAATGAACTGACGCCGATGCTCGATGAACTCGATCTGAACTTTGAACAACATCAACAACAACAAATGCTGGCACTGATGCAACAACAAACGCAACTGCAACAACAATACAACATGCATCATCATCATCATCACAACTCCAATTCGATTGGTGAACTGCTGCTGAATCCAACAACTCAACAAACTGACTCAACAACAAACGCCACAACGATGAACAACAATGTCACAAGCGCAGCAGCGACAGATGCTCAAAACTTAGATATTGTAGGCTAAACTAAAGATAAAATTTACAAAAAAAAACAGCTGATGGCAGATGATTAGGAGATTAAATCATTTTATAAATGTTTAAATATAAATATTTAAAATTAACAAACTATACAATTACGTATGTATGTATGTATTGTATGTATACATAGGGATGTATTTATTAACATTTAAGTCGTCGCAAGCAAAGCGTTTAGCGCATTGTCCATAAATTATTCAGTCGCATATTAAGCTCATGTTTTATTATCTTAATTTATTCGTATTTTAGTTGTTTCGCTCGTCTACAAACTATTTAAATTATTTCTCCCCCCCTCTATATATATTTTGTGTACACTAGACTTACAGGCAGATTTTATGATAAATATTTTATATATAAATTTAGTCACAAGGAAAACTAAACAAAAAAAATCCACAAAAAGTCAACAACAAAGGTAAAGGAAAATAGATTCAAAACAAAGAGATCAAAAACAAAAAAGTAATTGCAATGCGAAAAAATGAAAACGTAGAAAAATGCACAAAGTGAACGGCGTAGAACTATAGGAAAACCAATAATTGTCTCATCATTTACGAGTTTATACACTATATATGCATAGATACAGGTACATACGAGTATATATATTATTAATTAATAGTAATTCGTTAATGCAGGTTAGTGCTGCACACACTTGTGCCATGATCTTTTAAGCGCCCCCCATTAAAGCTCCTATTAAAGTAATAATTATTTGTTAATGTACGAGTTGATGAAGCACTTTTTGCATTTCATATTGATTCAGTGTCCGTCCTAGTGTCTGTTAACGAAACAAATTTTTGCTGTTTTCTCACTTTACAAATTTTTTCTAACCTGTTTTTTCATATCCATAAAAGCAAAAAAAAAAGAACAAAAAAGAAAAAACAACTCAAGCAAAACCTTAGCTAAAAAATAATTGCGAATTTAGTAGGCAAGAAAACGAATTATTGGCATGCAGTATACAGATTAACCAAGCGCACCTTTGCACGGAGCACATCACCCGACAACCACAAACACACCCACACATCACTGTAAATCCCCAACAAAATGAAGAAGATGCAAATCAATTCACACTCTCTACGAAAGGCACCAAGCACAAGAGCATCACGTTAAGATTGTAAATAAAACTTAGGCAAAGAACTGCTGGAAGAAATCAACTAATTGTAAGCCTCCCTAAGCTATAAATATTGTAAAAACAAATGCAAATCGAGTTAAACTAAGTGTAAAACTAAAAAATAAACGCAAGCAAAGTATTATTAAAATATATACGATTTATGTGAACAAAACAAATGCCACAATTGAATGAAAAATGCATAAGCAAATATTGTTTCAATCTTCATTTAATGCACAGGGAGTAACCATATTGAACAGGCCCAAACCCAGTGTTGGCTCACAGCGTAATATTAATGTGTACAGTTCTTAAATGATAGCCTCGGATACGATACGGATAAATGAAATCTTATCTTTACTTTTTGCACTCTGAATTGCCATAGCTATGCTGTGGTGTGTGTGTGTGTGTGTGTGATGTGCAGCTGAGCAGTCCGAAAATTATCTGATCTAATGAATAGCAGAGTTCTTTAGTTGCTCCATCACTAAACACACACACACCAACCTACACAGCAAGTAGAGAGCAAAGAAAATTAGGATATATTTTTACATTTTAGTGTAAAATATTGATCACAAAAAAAAAAAACAAAAAAAAGAAAGGAAGAGAAAGGATAAAAATGTTTTAAAGACTGGTTTTTTGTACACTTTAACTTGAATAAGCATGTATACTGATTATGTAAATGAATGAATGTCAATCGTATTTCAGTTTTCCCTCTAGAATTACCCATGTGTCCGACCCGCCACGCCCCGCCCCTATCGTATGTAGTTAGACTACTTGAGGAGTAAGGATTTTTGGAATGTGGCCAAAGAGGTTGGAAAGGGAGGGACACCTACAACTTTTCTACTTTTCAAACTGGATCTTATCGAAGCGAGATCAGTGCTAAACCCAATCATTTGTCACCCTGACACCGTATATAGATCGCTCTACATATTCACCAAATAATGACCAATTTTTGTGAGATTCTGTTTCTTAGGCACTAAACCGACTTAGATTAAGGTACACACGAAATATATACGTTAGAAAGGCTTGTAAATTCTCATACTGACAACGGCAATGGTAACAAATGCTTCATCTGTAATATAACAAAAAAAGAATCATAATATGTGTATGTATGTATTTCGATACCAAAACATGAGGAAACTACGCATTTTAACTGTTAAACAAATGATTAGTAGTACGTACAATGAAACTATAGATGGATATGTGTGGTATGTGTACATATTGATGTATGCGTTATGTATACAGACAGCCAAAGGAAAAGCTTCGTCTACAGCATTGTAAAGGAGCTAAAAGAAAAAAAGAAAAATTCCCCGCAAAAAAGAAACTTAACAAAACTGCACACACTTTTCGAGCAAATGGAAACCTTTCCACGACTAAACTACCTTCACAAAAACCAAACTAAAAACAAATTAAAAATGGTAACTAAATGAAAACAAAAAAAAAACCACAACAGAATATCTAATTGACGGTGTTATGCAATTTATAAATGTGATGAATGTCAAAGTTAAGCGTAAAAAAAAATCCAATACAAAAACACAAAAAAAATACAACAAAACAAAACAAAAATCCATAAGATTCGTAAGAAAGAGCTGAATGTAGCGAGAACTTAAGTAAGCATGCCCACGATTTTAGAGCTAAGCATATACATAGATGATGAATACTACCCCTTATCCAAAGGCATACCATAGATTTTAAGGTAATGCCCCATGATCCCCCCCACACATACACACAGACACACACACACACATACAGTAAGAGCCATAGAAGAAGGGACGGGACCTTTCCCTTGTGCTTGTAGTGGCGCCAACCAGATGGATAAACGGAAATCGTGTTTATACATATGTATGTGTATGTCTTGCGATATACAAAACTAATGATATATATATATATATATATATATGTATGTACACTTAAGCTAATCGTAAGCCAATGAAAAGTTGAAATGGATGCAAGCGGAAGATTATAAAGCTAATGATAAAAGATACAGATAATGATAACGATAAAGCGTAAAAATAAAGAAACATCAGATTGCAACTAACATTAGCTGGGTGAACGTGTTTCCACCGTTAGTTCCACAGTCATGAGGCCGTGGTGGCTGCGCGGCAACACATCCGGGGTCCAGGACAACACAATGCCGCTTTCCCACACAATTCTAGCCATCCACAGACTCATTCTGGTATAAATGGGACGTTTTTTGGGCTGTGCCTGGACATGTTGCTTGAAAGGTAGCCGCACATAGGGCACAAAATGACCATCCGCATGACGCTCAAAGGAGCGCGTCAGCTGCAGTTGTATCTATGCAAGGGAAATATCTAAATCAGAGCACTGAATATAAAAAATATGTTGGTGCGCTACACACACATTGGAGGTGCTAAAGATGCGCGTAACCGTGTGACCAGCTGTGAAATGCCATATGTATTTGGTCAAGCCCTTGTATTTTCCGGACTCAATCAGCGAGACTTCGTGGAGGGGACGCCGCTTTATGCCAGCACTGAAGCTTTTGCAAAAGTGCGAAAAGGTCTCCTAGAAATAGAAAATGGCCAAAAGACAGCAGCATCAACATAAGATTGATGCCAGATATCCAGCTTACCTTGTGCACATGAAAGCTCTGGTGGATGGAGCGTGTCGAGAGCCCTGGCTCGGGTGTGCATACTGGCTCCAGGCAATCATTGAGTAGCTCTATCACATGGTCCAGCCAAGCGGAGTAGGCCAGCGCAGGCTGCACATTCGCGTCCACACACAAACTGTCGTTGGCCGGCGATGACGGCCCATTGACGATCAAATCACGTTTGGCAGGCAGAGGAGGCTGCTTGCGAGTTTTAACCTCGCCCACGATTTCCGTTGCCTTGATGGGGGTCTTCTTGACCACCGCTAACGCGGGCAGCAGCTCAATCGGCGGCAATTGTTCGGTGACAGCGGTTGGCATTGCCTCCGAATAAATGGGCGGGGCGGTGAGTATGTTGTAGGGCTCGCTGATCATGGGCAGCTCGATGTCGAGATCAATCTGATCCGTGGGCTGATACTGATCCATCAGCTCGATATTGCAGTCCGTCAGCTCGATGTGCTGCTCCTCTGGCTCGGCGAACACATCGCAGTTGGACAGGAGCTGCGAATCGTTGGCATAGTGGATCAGGGCGCTGCTGCTGTTGCTGCTGCTGGGGTTGCTTGTGGCCGCCTGCATGCTGTCCAGGTTGAAGGCACCATCGGACAGGTCTGGCAGGGGCAGCTGAACAGAGGAAAATTTCATTAGCTGAACATTAATTATTCTGCGTCTGTACTCACATCAAGATGATCGCCAAAAACAAGTATATCCACCTGTGGATCAAACTCATCGACCATGCTCAGGCTGAGTCGTAAATCCTCCTGCGTGCCCTCGCCCAGCGGCGTCTCCAGCCTGGATGGCATCCAAAAGTTCTTTAGGCTGTTGGTAAAGTTGCCATAGACGCGTTTGCCCTGCGGCGAGCTGAGTATGCCAGCCAGAACCAGCAGCAGGTGATCGCAGATCTCGTCCTGCATGACCAGCGAGTTGTCTGGCTCCACAATTATCTTCAGCTTGCGGCAGGCACAGGCATAGGTGCCCTTCTTGGGCGACACGCCATTGGCCAGGGCCGTCACATGCAGCCTGGCAGTCGGAAACGAATCCGAGCGCTCGCACTTTACCGCAAAGGTTGTGGCATTGAGACGCTGCACGGCCGGCAGCTGTTCCTGGTCCTCGGCCCACTTGTACTGCTGCCAGAGCTGTTGCTTCTGCTCCTGCCCGATATTCAGATTCCATAGCACCTCCCGCGACACCTTGTACACCTGAGCCATGGGCATAGCCGAGCCGAGCTCTCGGCACGCCTTCACATGCTGGCAATCGATGTCGCCGGCGTCGTTCCTGCAGGCGTCCACATGGCAGATGGCCTTGCTGGATACCACAGCCGCATTCGGCTGCAGCGATAGTGTCACATCCTGGATGACCACGAAATTTCTAGGCGTCTCTCGCAGCTTGGCGCGCAACGAACAGACCGTTGAGCCGGCGTGCAGCGTCACCAGAGAAACCGCATCGAGCACATTCTTGTTCTGTGGACAGGCGGCGTTGCTGCAGAGCTTGGCGCGATTGCCATTGATGGCTCCACAGCTGGTGCACTGGCGGACACCACGCAAGGTGCGATTGCTCACATTCATATTATTGCCACTTTACGGATTTATTTAATAATTAAAAAAACATTAAGGGTGCTCGCTTGCATATGTTTTTCGCGTGAACTGCAGCCCTAGCCCAAAAACAGCTGATTGCTATCGATCTATCGATAGCAACAGTCTGAAAATTTTTAAAATAATTTGTTATTCTGTTTAATTTGCGGGAAACGGGAAATCCTTGGACCATGGCACATCCCGTCGAGGCGAAGACCCGGCCCCGGAAATATCCATTTGTCCACATGCGTATCGCGGACCACACTGTGCTGGACACCATCGAGGGACGACACATTTGCCGGCTCTGTAATCGCTCGCGGAAGTTCTTCTGCTACAGCTGCCATGTACCGGTGGGGGAGCTGGAGAAGATGCTGCCACGCTTGGGGCTCCCATTGCAGATTGACATCATCAAGCACAAGAAGGAGATCGATGGGAAAAGCACGGCCGTACATGCTGCCGTCCTGGCGCCGGAGCACGTGCGGATTCACACATATCCCGATATTCCCGACTACCGCCTGGAGGAGGACGTGGTGCTCATCTTTCCCAGCGCCAAGAGCCTCACAGTGCCGCAGCTGTTCGAACGAAATGTTCAGCTGAAGATCGACGATAACTATGGCCTGCCCAAAGGACATCACATGGGCACAATGCTCCGCCGTCGCATGGATGAGATTGAGGTCGGGGAGACGCAACCAGAGGCCACGTCCAAGCGCAGCTATGCCTATGGCAACCTACCCGTGCGCCGAGCCGTCTTTATTGACAGCACCTGGAACCAGAGCCGCGGCATCTACGCGGACGAGCGTATCCGAGGTCTCCGCACAGTCGTCCTACAGAATCGCTTGTCGCAGTTCTGGCGCCATCAGCGTGGCAGCCCGCGTTGGTACCTGGCCACCATCGAGGCTATCCATCAGTTTGTGCTAGAGGTCCACGTCAATGCCTGGGGTCTCAATGCCGCCTACCGGGGACTAGACAACCTGGAGATAACCGAGGGCTTTCATCAACTGGCGGCGCCGCTAACCAGAGACGCCCCGCCGGAGGATGTTCAGCGAGAGTCGCCCTACAACGGACAGTACGACAATCTCTTGTACTTCTTTGCCAATATGTACGATCTCATTCACAAGTACTATGACCACAACGACCTGATATCCTATCGACGTCCGATTTAGTACGAGAACAGAGATTTTATTATAGAAGGGAAATACACGTTAAAGCTATGTTAGTTTGGAATCCTTATTTCTTCTTCTTCTTGCCCTCGTCGCTGGAGTCGCCGCTCTGCGGCTTGGGGTCCGTGATGACCGGCTTCTGCCATTTCAGCGGATTGTTGCGATAGAAGGGCCATGGAGGAATGGTGATCTGAAAAGGTTTGATTTTTGATTAGAGCGCAGCTGATGAGATATTATCAGCCAAGGGCTCACCAGGGAGGACAGCAGAAAGCCCACGCCCAGAATATAGACCGTCTGTGAGAACTGCTGGACAATCGCTCCGTAGATCAGGCCCACAACGCCGAAGAATGTGATGATGAGACGGGACCAGCGCTCAGCCTTTCCCTGGCCCACAAAGTCCTGCACAGTGCGAAGATAGTTTAGTAAAAGTGTAAAAACCCTCTGCCCCGGTACACCTACCATATGCGTTGGTATCTCCAGCATGTTCCTTGAGATTTTCTAACTTAAATTTTATATTTTTCACGTAAACAAATTCGAATGCGGCACGTCAGCAGTGGATTTGATACACACAGACAGTGCTGCCGCTTCCGCTTTTTTCCCGTCAAAATTTTGCAGTTATTTTTAATGTGGCCAAATTTACATAAAGGGTATAAAAGAAGTGGCAGATTCGTCATTTTGTTTTAACGAAATTTGCCACTTCGTCTTATACACTATTAAATATCACGTTATTAATTTATGGATAAGCTTTTTCAGCTTTTATTTTGTCTCTTGTCTAAGCTAGAAACGGCTTTTTTCTGATGACAGGTTGGCAGCACTGATCCCAGTGTAACCTCAGATATATACCGAAATATACCAAAATATGCCAGAAGGGTCAAAAATAATAACAATAAAATAAATAATAATATTAACGGTATATACTTTTCGAATATATCGTTTTTTAAAAAAATCATTTCAAACATATTTTGACTGTATGCCAAAATAATCCTCTTTGGGACCATTGTGCGTTGTCAGGGAAAATTTTACTACCGAACTCTTGATCCGCACAAACAGTCGAAACCAAATTAATTGCTCAATCCGTTGGCATCATTTACATGTTTAAATCAAAACACTAAGAGTAGATGAAGCAGAAACAGGCGACAATACAGTCCATGTGCAAAGTAACATGAAGATGAATTGATTAAATACGATTATAAATAAGCGAATATCTAACTGGAATTGGCTGGGCCAACACATAGTTGCTGCTAGAACATCGACGTTAAAACATGTCCCACATAGAAGGTCCTCTTTTTCTTCTCATTGTGGTTTCATATGTGACCATTGAGGTGTGTAAAACCATCCTTAAACACTGCGATATATTCTAAAACATCATTAAAATATGGCAGGTCGCTTCGAAGGTAGAGTTTACCAACATTGTATGTACTTCCTTTGACAAAGAGTTTTCGGACTTTGAGTATTGCTATCTGAAGTCGGTGAATCGGACGTATAAATATTTTTCTTTTAAAATTAATTTGTACAAACCACCAGTTAAAAGGGTTAATGTAAGTGAAAAAGTGAAAAAAAACAAGTATTATGTACATGAATGTATAATCCTAGATAAATGTGGCACTCAACAAACGATTCAATGGCTATAAGCCGTTCTTGTACAATGTCACTACGGATGGCTGCAGATTTATGAAGAATCGGCGATCGAACCCAATTGTTCGTTTCTTTTTTGACTCGGTTGCTCGATTTACAAATCTGAACCATTCATGTCCCTACGAGGTAAGTTAATATGAAAATAATATGAAAATATTTTAAACAAATTTTTTTGTTGGCTTCCAGGGTGCTATTATCATGGAAAAGGTACCTGCCGAGTCTGTGAATAACCAGTTTAGTAAAGTACTGATATTTCCGGAAGGCGATTATATGGTTGAATTAAACTGGATTGCCTACGACATCAATCGGGCTGTAACCAAAATATATTTCACTCTTTCTTGATCAACACGGGCACGGTAAAACCTGTATCAAGAAGCAAATCGTAAAAAGTCGATTCAGGTTAGATTTAAAATATATGTATTTTAATGATTTTAATATTTGTTTTTCATATTGTATATTTGTACAATGTGTTTATGGCGGCTTGAGCCGTGGACGTATGTTTCGAACTAATAAATAAGTGGCGTTTGGGTAAGAACTACGTTTAAATATAATGTGCGAATGTGCGTTGGGAATGGCTTCGTTCTTGTTTTGTTTTTTTGCGTCATGTTTATCGCTGTGCGGTCCTGCGCCGCTCCTCAGACCCTGGCAGCCCGTGTGCGCCGCAGGTGGACAATGTTGATGACACAAATGGACAGCCAGGCGAAAAGGGCCAGCCAGGCAAAGACCAAGGTGAAATACAGGCAAGCAGCCGTGTTGATGCGTCCATAGCGACGCCGCTCATAGGAGATGCTTTCCACCAGAAAGTCCATGAAATCGAATATGGCTGCGCACGACAGACGGGACTTGAGCACGGGCACAATGTTGCCCACACCCTGGATCTCCTTCAGCAGGGACTCGCGGTACTGCTTGCAGGTCACCTCGAATCCGTCCGTAAATACGGAGGCGTAGATCAGCTGATAGATGGCCATGATCACCGAAATGACGGTGGCAGGAAGCCCTGAAATCAAAAGGAACAAATATAGCGGATGCATTCTTGTCCGGATTCCCCATTTCCCATTGGCGAACCACTCACAGTAGTAGGGGGAGAGACCATCGGGCGTAAGTTCGGATTCAGTGGTCACCACAATCATGTCGCCGGATCTGTGTGGGGAGGGGTTGAAAAGACACAGAGCGGAACGAAATTAAAAAAGAAATAATTTAAATGCTTAAAAAGTATCAAATTCTGAGTGTTAGTCATTCGCCTGGAAGCAGCATCTGCGGGGCTTCCATTAGCATAAGACCTAATTAGTGGAGTGTGGGGCGAGCTATTGGCGACGATTAACCCACTTGACCCGCAGACACACTCGAATTAGAACACTCACCGCTGCCGAATGGTGCTGGTGCCCACTTTGCGCTGACCCTTCCCGATGCACATCCGATAGCCATGGTAAATGGCCAACACCACGGCGAAGATCAGGGGCAGCAGCAGTCCGTAGGTGGCATAGTGGCAGTAGGCGATGTTCCCGCCCTCAAAGCTGTTGTAGGTGCTCCGGGCATGCAGCACACAGCCGCAGTTCGTGTCCGGACAGGCATTCAGGACGTAACGCCAATGGGACCATGCCACCGCCGATGTGATGCAGCAGATCACAGAGGACACGATCGCAAAGGGATAAAGGTAGGAGAGCGCACGCTCCGCTGAGTACGACATCTTGGGACTGCGTCTGATCGTAGATTAAGACAATTTAAATTGATTCAAGAACACTTTAACTGTCATTCAAATTTGTTTATTGGGCGTCACACGAACACTCACACAATCACACTTGTTGCAACGCGCACTGTACCCCAATATAAACAAACGAATTGATCTCCTCTCCAATTCCTCTTCTGCCTATTTTTTTTTTGCGGCTTTTACAGCTGGATATAAAAGTCTTTAAAATGATTTTCAAATTGTTTTTTGTCTGCAACTTCTCACAGAACTTTGGCAAAAGAAAAACAAGAAAACAGATCGCTGACACATACAGGGGAAAAAAAATAGGAGCCAGGGCAGAAAAACCAGGGCGATCAAACGAGATTTAACCCACTTAACCCCCCTCTATTTAAAAAGTGGAGCACACTTTGTTAAAGCGCGGAAAACAATACTGTTTGTAAAGGCTCCTTATAGCTCCATCCTCCTCTTTACTTAAAAAACAAAAATCACCGCCGACATCTTTCACCTGTAATGCGTAAAATATGTTGAAGTTACATCAATTTCGTGGGAATATAAAATACCCCATTGGTCAACAAAGGGCTAACGTTTTATTTTATTGATTGACATCGTATTCCATAATTTTGATATTCAGTATAATATTACTAGCTAGTTGGCCCTCTCATCCCTAAACAAATAATTTTATCCGATAGATACATAAATTTTCTACAAGATTGGCTAGTTTTCAGAAGTCCTTTTATTGCATTGCTTACATAAAAAGGTTCAAACAAAAACGGACAAAGCCTAAAAGGACAAAAAGTAAATGTTGACTAAATGTGACGTCAATGTTGCTGGTCAACCAAGTTTCTTCTATGCGTATGGGCTACCATAACGTACCATTCGTTACCTCTTTCACCACTTTACTTACGTAGTTTCGGCGCGCGCTAAATTCAAACAGACAGCACCCAAGCGTTACAAATTAAATTAATTTGTTTCCTGCCATGCCCCATACATTACTTATACGGCGGATTCCAATGAATGAAATCTGTCCTTACATTACCTGGCCGTGCGCCAGGCGCCAACAAACACATTTCAAAATCGGCCGGCTGTAGCAAATGACGCCTGAACTCGCCATGTTTTGTGATCAGGGCGGTCGGTCCTCCATCTCCTCCATTCCCCCAACGAGGCAGCCGATTCGACCAAGTTGATTTTTGGCAAAAACCATTTTCCGCGGACGCCTGAATCTGCTCAGTTGCCAGAGAGTTGTGGAGCTGTCCACTACGCGGAAAAAGTCTCAATGTAAATACCTAAAATTGGGATAATATCGTACGGATTTTGCTGCAGCAACCAATTTGCCAGTAATGTAATTTGCTGTCAAAGACAATTCAACAACAAAAGTGAAAACAAAATTGAAAATTGCCAAGTAATTCCCCCAGTACATTGTAGCAGACGTTACGAAATTGCATTTTGCAGCCGCGCGCCGATTCTCGTGCAGAGCCAGCCAAATTTCCTATAAATAGACCCCTGCCCAAAGGGTGCAACAAATTTGATGTGTGTTTTCAAATAAACAACAAAGAAAAAAAAAAAGAAAATTATTGCAAAAAGAACAAGAAATTTGCATAATTGGGCCTTTGCCATTGTTGTTCGGAGTGCAGTGCTCGGAAAATTCTCAAATTTGATGAGCTGACTGAAAATTGCAGCGTAACAAAAAGTAATAATTAACTAATGAATGCTTGCTGCTCTTCTGCTTAATATTCGTTTATTTATAGAGTGTCTAACAGTTTTGTTGTAATCATTTAACATAATGGGTAACTATGTGTCTTGTCTTTCTAAGCAGTAGAATTAGTTTGACCCACTAGGCGGACATTAATCATGGCTGTTATACGGTTACAGAATGTTTTATGCATGAGACAAACCGATCTAGATTAAAGGACAATCACAGAGGGTTCTATGGAACAACATTAAACTAGCCATTCAGCAATTCCTAAAAAACAAGCAGTTATCAAGCATGCCAAATAGCTGTAAAACGTCTGCAAGCAGTATGCGTAAATCTTCTACCACACTGCTTCCTTTCTGTGCCACTGCTTCGTTAAAATTGTAAATTCAAATCTTTTGTGCACAACATTCCAGTACAGAACCCACTGTGAGCGTTTCCTCAAAATACATATTAATGTTTTTGCTTACTGAATGAATGCTTGGGCCACTTATAGACGCATATAACACGACACAACCGACACAAACCGGCGCCTGTATATAGTGCATCGTTATAGAGCCAGACATAGAACCGGAATCAGAAATACATACACCCAAACACGCAGACAATTTGCCCGGCTGATCCATCCCAGATATAAGTGAAGTGACGTGAAGTTTACCAGATGGATAATTGGAATGTTTTGGCAGCGCAAACAACAGCCCAAGCTATTGGACGCGACGATGCGGTGGTAAAGACGCGACTGGTGAGTGGGGTGGCGGTGGCAGTAAGCAAAACAAAACAAACCGATCGATTGTAGTATCTATTCGTAGTACATAGTGAAAAGTTGGCAGACCCCCCAAAAAAACATACGCATTCCTATGTACTCGTCTGCAGCCAGATCTGGTTGGATGAGTGCGTGTTGCCTGGGGGGGCATCCTCGCTAGAGCAACAGCTGTTTCGGCTGAGCCAATTGCTGCTCTCTCTCACTCTGGCTCTGTTGTGATCGTTACTAGCACACTCATCTATAAACTATAAATAGGAATCCGCTGGTGGTGGCGGCGGTTCTCTTGAGCAGATTGCCTGGCGGGTCTTTTGGAGATTTCGATTCTGATTCCTTCTCGCAGTAGCGCGAAAGTAGCTCGGTCCGACGGACTCGCCATAGACAGACCACAACACGCCAGACCACGCCAGACCACGCCAGTGTTCGTCTACGCATATATATTTTATATAAGCAAGTGCCACACAGATCTATATACGAGACATACCTGAGCAATGGATATATCCACGGATATCTGGGGTCAGCTGGCCGTCGAGGCGTCCCAAGTCTATCTGTCCGATGGCACAGTTCGCAGTCCCTTTGCCGATACGGTACAACGAGTTTTCGGGGAATATTTTTTCCTCGTTTCATCCGCTCTTTCTCTATCTATTGTAACACTGTGCAACAAAATGGACACTTTTTTTCGAGCATCTAAACTTGAAATTGCTCTCAAGCGACAGAGCAGCATGTCGCAGAACAAATGCCAAAAGATCAGCAATGAGTGAAAAGTTTGTTGTCTAGTGTAATTAGGTCGAGAAATATTGATAGCTATATGAGAGAGTGAGATTATTGAAATAACTAAAATATTTTCTATACTAAACCTATGACAGACCATCGAGAAGCTGCCCGACAAGGTGCTGCTGCACATCTTTTCGTATCTGTCGCATCGCGAGATCTGTCGCCTGGCTCGGATCTGTCGTCGCTGGCGTCAGATTGCATATGATACGCGCCTCTGGAAGAATGTGTCCCTCAGGCCGGAAGTGTCCGGTCTGCATGTGGGCTCCCTGGAGATGCTGCTACAGCTGATATCGGTGAGATTCGGGCCGACGCTGCGGTACATCGAACTGCCCATCGAGCTGATCACACACACGGTGCTCCACGAGCTGTCCGGAAAGTGCCCCAATCTGACGCACATGCTGCTGGACTTCTCCACGGGTAGGTATAACAATTCGCAGGGGATATTGGCCTGCCCATCTAATGGTGTTCCTTTTAGCCATGCAGCTGCACGATTTCAGCGAGATGCAAACCTTCCCCACCAAGCTGCGTTACATGTGCATCTGCCTGTCGGAGGTGATCTTCATGGAGGGTTTCATGCGAAAGATCTACAACTTCATCAATGGCCTGGAGGTGCTCCACCTCATTGGCAGCTACGAGAAGTGCGAGGAGGATGAGGAGGAGATCTACGAGGTCATCAATGTGCACAAGCTCAAGTCGGCGACGCCCAATTTGCGTGTAATCAATCTGTACGGCATCAACTTCATAGATGACTCGCACATCGATGCCTTCAGCTCCAATTGCATCCAGCTGGAGTGCCTGGCCGTTAACTTTTGCAACAAGGTCACCGGATCCACCCTCAAGACCCTCATCCAGCGCTCCAAGCGTCTGACCTGTCTGCTCATGAACGGCACCAGCCTCAAGTCTGAGTTTGTGATGCAGGCGGAGTGGGACAAGTGCGCGCTCCAGGAGCTGGATATCACGGCCACCGATCTGTCGACTGAGTGCCTGGTGGACATGCTGACGCGCATACCCAGCCTGAAGTTCCTCTCCGCTGGACAGATCAATGGCTTCAACGATAGCGTGCTCAAGCTGTGGATGGAGTCGGGAAACACCAGGTAGAGTGGAATCGAAGTAGTTGCTCTTGACGTTGCTCATGTGTTCATGTTTTCTCTCATGTTAGACCTCTCATTTCTCTGGATCTGGACTCCTCGGACAACATCTCCGATGAGGGATTGCTGAAGTTTCTGCAGCGCCACGGGCATCAGCTGAGTGCCTGCTGCCTCTCGGGCATGCCACACATCACGGATCAGCTGTGGATGAGCATCCTGCCGCTGCTGGGCAACTGCAAGTAAGCAAATCTCTTAATCCATCCCCCAGTGAGAAATAAAAGGTTTTGGTTTACCTTACAGAATAGTTGTCATGGGCACGGCGGAGAAGCTGGGCGTGAACATCCATGTGGATCAGCTTATGGACACGATTGCCTCCAACTGCGGCAACCTGGAGCGTCTCGAGCTGCGCTGGGATCCCGACAATCTCCGTTTCTCCGACAAGAGCCAAAAGGCCATCGACATTCTGCGCGTCAAGTGCCTCAAGCTGCGCTGCATGGTACTCAGGTGAGTGCAACGTCTAGCCTTTGACCTGCTGAATGACTCTCATCGAGTGCTTCTCGTTCACAGCGATGGTCGCTACTATGAGACGGTCAAGGCAAACTTTGAGCGCGCCGATCGCATCACTGTGGTGCGTACCACGACCTGCTGCCGGGTCTCTCCATATCATCTACTGCGCAACTACAACGATTTGATCTTTAACTAAAACCAAGTGGATAGAATTGGGATACATACAGTGCGTTTCATAAGAGTTCTCTCTCTCTGTCTCTCGCTCGTTACACGAACTTTGAATTAATTGCTTCCTCAATGTTAATTCTTTTGTGCCCGTTCCACGGTGCAATCCATCCCTCTTATGGCTGCCTCCGCCCCCACCACATATCTCTAGTCAAAAAGTCTTTACAATCGTTTCTGTGTGGTTTGTTTATCGCTTACATTATATTGTGTTTTGTTGTTTGTTTTCTGTATTTTCCGCTTCTTTCGTTTGATTAAATTAAATCTAAATAAACGTACATAGGTAATTTAAATAAAAACAAGAACAAAGGATTTGCTTACTCAACATTTCTTTTTACATTACAAAATTATACAACGTAAGTTTTTGCGTTTCCATCAAAAAACTTTTCTATCTGTGCTGATTTCCTCTTCTTCGCGCTTCTCTCGCTCTCGTCTCGTCTTTCGTGTTTTTAACTAACTTTTACTTGGTAACTTGATTAAATCATTTTCAGACTTCCCCACATACATAAATGTTATTTTTCTTTACTGATTTTGTTTGTTTGTTTTTTTTTTTGATTTTTTTTTTTACACTGATTTATCCACTGCAGAACTTAGGTCTAACGTTTTTTTGTGTGTTTCAACATTTTTGGATCAACTTTTTACCATAAACTTAACGTACATAGATCTCTGGTTCTAATTTTGCGATCTCGTCCCGATCAGCGCTCTATTATATGCATGGTATATAATTTAATTAAGCATGGCTGTATGTTTTATATATATATATGTATGTCGTGTTTGTGTGTGCCTATGAGGATCAAAGGTGTGTGTGTGTGTGTGTGTTTGTGTGTATGTTATAGGAATAGATTGCTTTAAAGGTATGAAGAAGCTCTTCGTCACTAGACAGATTCGCGTTATTTTTTTTTTTTACATAAGTACACTAACACACAGAACAATTCAAGTGGTAGATAGATAAATAGAAGGTACGCGAGCAATCCCGATCCGATCAATCCCTTATCCCCTTATCGCTCATCGCTCACTGCTGGTCCTGGGTCACCCGGAAGATGTGCGTCGTATTGCTGGCCGCCGCTGTGGCCACAGCCGCCGCAGCGGACGTGGCCGACGGTGTTGGGGGCTGGTTGGAAGCTGTGATATAGCTGGCATTGCTGTTGCTGTTGCTACTGCTGCTGGCAGAGACCGCAGCGGTTCGTGCCTCAGCAGCAGCGGCTGCTGCCTCGGAAATGGTTGCCGCCGATTCCGTTGCGGCATTGGAGGTGGAGGCGGTTGTGGAAGCTTCCGACGGTTCGGCAGCGACGATCCTCTCCGGTGAGCGGTGCGTGGATCCAGCGTTGTTTCCATCCTGTGTAGGCAAATCAAAAAAAAATTTTAGCAGCGTAGACTATATCGTTGATCAGCAAAAGAAATACTAACGTCTCGGGGATACACGATCTCCTCTGGGTCAGCGTCCGCTGGCCTCGCCTCTGGCACATTCTCCTCGGCCTTCTCCGTGTACATCATTATCTCATGGCACAGGGGGCAGCGATCCTGCACATACAGCCATTTACGCAGACAGACGCCATGGAAGAAGTGGCGGCAGCGCGTTATCTTGGCCGAGTACATTTCCTAAAGGGCGCAAGGGAAAAAGCAGTCCGTGAGTAATCACCGAAGGATTAATTGGAATAAAAGAAGCAATCACCTGATAGCAAATGGCGCAAACATCGTCGAACGCTTGGAGCTGGGCCGGTGTAGCCTCCGGTAGGGACGAGATCTTGTGCACGGCCGAGCGTCGCTTCATGAACACCGACCAGCCAGCTCGGGCCTCGCACCAGATATTGAAATAGGCATGGATGCACATCATGATGGCTCTGATGGCGCCGCCTGTAGCATTTTGGGCTATCAAGTTATAGTTATCGATACACAAAATCAACCAAATAAAAAGATTACATGCACACACATAACAAATAAAAAAGAAGCAGCTAGACCAAGGACAAGGACAGGACATATACTGTTGAAGACTTGAAAGCCATTTAAATATTGATTGGATATCGTATCGATGGATTCATTTGCTCATTTGTGCCGATGTAATTGGATATGAAACGCAGCTGCAAGCTGCCACTTACCCGACTCGAAGATCAGTATCCAGGCGCCGTTGATGAACAGCAGTATGCCGAAGCAGAATTCCACGGAATTGCCAAAGGCACGCACATAGTACAGATAGTCATCGAGCTTCTCCCAGAAGAACTGACGGCGGGCGTCCAGCAAGAACAGCGTGTACGTGGCCAGCGAGACGAGCACCTGCAAGGGGGGGAATCAATCAAGCCGGGGCTCGGGAATCGTTTTGGACTACACACCTTGACAATCACCTCCACCGAGAAGGCGGTGACGGCCAACAGCCATGTGGAGATGGAGCGCTGCAGCCACAAGTAGTACAGCAATGAGACGGGCGTCACAACGAGGAATGCGCATACTGTGAGGGCGCGCACGTGGCGTTTGCGTGAGGGATTTCGAGCCGCACTCAGCGACATCAGTATGGGCGAGACGATGTTGTGCAAGAAGTGCAGCAGGGCGGTCATCAGAAGACATAGATTGCGACACAAGCGCACAAATCGCTTCTCCGGCGACAGTGAGGTGAGTCCAGTCTGCAGGGCCAGGATGTAAAAGAGCACTGCCGAGACGGTGCCCAGCGATTTCTCCTCATCGTTGTCGTAGGTCATCAAAAACCACTGAAAGCCTCGGCCAATGTAGTGGCATATCATGGATATCACACCCGTCATGCCCAGTACGGCGGTCAGCGTTTCGCAGCCATCGACCAGTAGCTTTTCGATTGCCGGAAACAATTGCAAGGGCTCACTGGAATCGGCGATGGCCAGGGCATAGCCTCCCTGAATGATTCTGTAAGCGGAGATTCCCATTAGATAGAATAAACGTTAAACGAATGTTCAGATCTCACCGAATTGTCCAGAACACACGCAGGACATTGGGCACATTGAGTCGCTGCCACTCGTTCTCTATCAAAGCGGACAGGCCAAAGTTGGACACGAAGTTCATGGCATATTGGTAGCCATTGTATACCGTTCGGCTGGCCTCCATGGCGCTGTACATCATCGTGACTAGCGTAAGGATGATGGGCGTGGTGCCGGCTATCACGGGCAGATGTTCCACCACATGCGGTGGCAGCGGCAGCATGGCAATCAGAATGGGACTAGTAAATATGATGGGCATCGACTTTTGCAGCAGTTCGTATCTCGGTCCCAGGTGTATGTACGCAAAGAGCATGCCCATGAACCACTGCGCCATGACGTGCGGCGCCAGCGACATGATCACCCCGCCCGAGTCCAGTAATCGTGTCGTATTCAGCGACATCAGGTCCTCCAGTATGCAGGGACTCTGCTCCATTAGCGCCAGGGCGCTCACATTTGACCAGTAGGAGAGGAACGTCAGTCCGAGGGAAGTGAGAAACATGTACACCATCACCAGGTGCCGCGTCCACAGCATGAAAATACAAGCGGCGGATAGGAAGCCTGAAGCAATCAAATCAAGAAATGAACATTGGTATTTTTTGTATGCATATGAGACCGTGGTGCGGATGGGTGCAAAGTACGTCCGATAAGGGGGGGTTCTGGGCAAACGACCCTTAGTACTGGAGAGAGAGAGAGAGAGTGCCCATTACCACCTGCTCCAGGTGCCACTTACCGAATAGGCAAATCAGGAATTTGACCGTCGTTATGCTGAGGACATCCGCCAGCGTCTCATCGTGTGACAGCTCGGTCATGAGCGAGTTAAAGCCGGTGCTGAGCATCCCATTCGTCATCGCCGATTTGGAGGCATTATCGATGGACTGTTCGATTGGGCTGGCGGGGGGAATCATGGAACTTTGGGCAGCAGCATCGCCAAATCCGAAGAACGCCTTGAGGGTGGCGAATGCCTCGGCAGCGGCACCCGGGGTATCTGCATCAGCCAGAAAGCCAACATCCTCCTCGACCGGCGACTGCGGCTGGCTGGTGTCCGGATAGAATCGTGTGGGCAGGCCCATGCCAATCTTTAGTATCTCATCGATGACCAGCACGGGCGGCACCCGCATCATCACATCCACCAGGCCCAAAACTTTAGTGCGCATGGACATGGCTCTGGCTGGCTCTCGTCTCTTCGGCGACGTTTGTGGCTGATGCGACGTGACTCTGCACTAATCGGCTCCGTCCGCCTGTCTCTTTTAGACGACGCGCTCGCTGATCGGCAATTAGCTAGCTCTTCAATATCTACCTTCCCCCAAGCGATGGCTCACGCATTTGGAGCTGATTGCTGTTTTTCTTTGCTGGTTTCTGTCGATTCTGCTGCTGCTGCTGCTTCTGCTCCAACTGGTGGCTGGCTGGCCTTCGTTTTGGATTTCGTTTCGCAAAAAGAATAAGTGCACAGGTGTGTATGCACTGCTGTGAAGTGTTGGCTGTGGCGGGGGGAGGAAGAGTAGAGGCAGGGCAGGTGGTAACGTTAAAGGTTTTTCCTTCGGATTTTGTCGTCGCACAAATGTTGCTGCTCGTTGGGTTTGATTTATTCGTTCGCTGCTGTTCCGTCCCTCGCTCGCGGACACCAAAATGCGTGTTTTGCGCTTGGTTTTGGCTTTTCTTTCGATTTTGCCCGAACTTTACACTTTTTCACTTTGGTTTTGTTTTTCTCCTCTACTTCTCCTCCTGTTCTTCTGTTCATGCGCGAGTTTTACAACACTAGGATCTAGAATTTGGAATCGGATTTTGAGTGGAATTGCGTTTGCGTGTGAAAAATAAAACACTCAATTTTTGTTTTTTCTTTCTACTCTACTTCTTCTGTTATTCGCTGGCGATAGGTTCGCGCTATCTATCGTCTCTCTCGACCAGTGTTGCGCAGTGACGGCGGACACAGCTGATTTGTGTTGTTGCGCGCGGAAATATGAAATTTTGAATTTTGACTTGGGTTTGAAGAAAAAATGAAGGCCAAGTCGGGTGTATGCTTTTTGGAGCTGTACCAAAAATGTAAATAAAATATTAAACTAGATATAAACATTTGAATTGAGTATTGGATTTTTGTGACGGCGCCTGCTCTTAGAATTCCAATTCCTGACTAAAACTCTCATTTCCATGTTTCTGCTTGAAAAGTCTTTTCCGTTCCTAATAATACTATATAAAATGCCCTCAGTCATGGGGTTCTACGAAACGATTCTTGGATACACATTTTCCGCATTCTTTCAAAGCAAAACCCTCGAGCTCTGGCATTTAATCGTCTCGTGCCCAATTCTCCGTCTCGATTTCCTTCCCCATAGTAGTTTACGTGAATTTCCTCAATTGTTCGGTCATTAACTTTTGCCATTTTGAACTTTAATTGTTGTTCTTTCTTGTTTGGTGCCACAAAACCCTAAACCCACTCGCATAGCTTGCTCCTGCACCCCACCCCCCCCGCCACCGTATGCAAATGCACAAATTGAGGCAACGGCAACGGCAACGGCAACGGCAATGCAGTCCGGATCCGGGGCTCCGTTCCCCAAGTGCCCCAACGTACGTGTGTGCGCCCAACGCTCGTAATTATGCGCAATTGTTTAGCGTTTAGCTCAAAAAGTTCAACTAACATAATTGATTTTTCATGCCGCGCCACAAGAATTTTAAACAAACTGCACAGGTCATAACAAACAAGCACAACCACAGCCCCCAAGTCGCGGGCAATGCATGTTTGTTGATTTGGTTTTACCTTGGAACAACTGAAAGGGTATTTGGGGATTTTCCTTGAGATTGAAAAGTCCATTTTACTCGGGAAAAACTCAAAATGTAAGGCTGTTCTGAGTAGCCCTTCTGGTCAGCTTTGGGGTTGCATTACATAGCCCAAAATCTTGATCAGGTTAGAGCATTTAATAGTCATCTTTCCTATGTGAAAAGTGACTTGCTGATAAGCCTTTTGGCTGCTCCTTGGCCTGTGCTAATTTGCATAGTTTTCACGAGGCTTTTTTTTTTTTTTTTGGGGGCAAACGTCGACGACTTGACGGGGCAGCAAATTGCACAAATTACGAGGAGATGGCTCTATGGCCCCGGCCAGGCGAACTGTTAACACTCCCATGGCACACAGCAGCGGCAGCGGCAGCGGCAGCGGCAGTGGCAGTAGCCCCCAAATATGGGGCTCATATATTTAATATAATCAGTGTAATTGTCATTGGCGATGAGCCGGGGGACTGGGACCCCGATATGGAATGGAACTGCAATGGAAACGAAACCCTCTCTCTTTGGTTTGCTCTGCTGGATGCAGGCGATCTTCAGGTCTCACGCATGGCAATTGTATAATTTATCGCTCCAGTTCTAATCGGCAGCTGTCAGTGTCCGGCCAAGACAGCTGACCAGGCTAGCGCTGGCTGCACTGCTTGCTCTGTCTGCCCGACTGCTGCTGCTGCTGCTGCTGCTGGCTGCTGGTGATCTCGGGGGAACGATTTAATTCGCCGGCCATATAAGTCGGAAATTTGTACGTTGATTAACGCGCCAATCGTTTTACACAACAACGTACAAAGTGTCGATGGTCGATGGTCTCGATGTCGTCCCGCACTACCCCCCTGTACACCCCTGTCCGGTCTCAGTTGCACTCGCATTGCATCTGCCCCCCCCCTGGACGAGCTGTCTATGTGTGATTTCATTACACTTAAAGCTATGCCCAGACAGCACACGGGGCGCATGGCCAGGACCTGAACCTCTGGACCTACATATGAACATGTGAACCAGTGCAATGCGTTCCCAGCATGATTACCACTCATAGATAGAGCCAAGACGTGGCTGTCGCGGCGGCAGCTGGAAACCTGCTGGGACGCCAAATGAATTAGCTGCCGTTAACGCTGCTGCTGCTGCCTGTTAGTGATACTCCGGCAAGTCTAGAGTTTCGACCATAAGATACCTTTGAATGTAATTCCAGGGAGAGCCATAACTGTATCTACAAAACACACACAAAACTGTGGCTTCTAGTCTATAAAATTCGTCTAAGAGTTCAAGGAGAGAGGCCCACTTGAGTAAAAGAATATACCCTTTAAGTAAACTTTTACCGGGTAGCAATTGCTGGTGAAAGGAAATGACGTTGGGGAAGTGTTGATTTTTTGGGTGAAGGTGAATCCAGAACTCTGTCTGGTAATACTCACGAAAACCTGCAAAATGCTCCATTCACTATTTGATTAATATTCGAGTAAAAGTTTGGCAGGGTTCTGCTGTATAACAATTGCTGGTGGAGAACGAAATGTTTATGGCTTGCTTGAAACTCTGTCCAATCAGCCAAGACTGCTTACATTGAAGTTCTGAAATCGTTACGAATGATAAGGTTATCATCTGATTGTGATTGTTGGGCCCCAAGTGGTTGAATATAAGAGATAAGCAGGCACAATATTGGGACTATTACGGAACACCTATGAATATTCAATGGGTTAAATATTGGAAGATGTATGTTCTCAAAACCCAAGCAATAAATTGTTTCCGTTTTTGCATTACACACAAAAATAATTAACCCAATGTTGAATCTTTAACTCAAGTCCTTTATGCTAAGCCCTAGGAACATAAATCGTTTAAAGATTATATTTAGTGTATCCCTTACACTGATCGATGCCGTTTCATGGCTTATTCCTTTTTGGATTTAATTGGATGATACTTGCTCGCAATATTCGCAATTCAGATTCCGGTTTGTCATAATTGCCTCTCTGTGCAGAACTGACAGAGCGTCTCGTATTTTATAGTGAAATGAAATTGATTTAGCCAATGGCCGCCAGCACCCCAAAAACGAGGGCCAATTATCTTTTGCATTCGGAGAATAATTAGGAGCTTGATTGACATGCGGGATAAGGAGACATACACTTGGAATGCCATAGCAAATTATCGAACGGCTACTGTGCAAAAGCTGATCCACAAAAATCAAAGGCCGTAACGACAACAGCCACAGTCAACAGACAAAGAGGTGGACATGGCTGAGGATGGAGATGGAGATGGGTATGGGTATCCGAGGTATGGAGGGATGGAGGAATGAGGACGAGGTTGAGGACGACAACGACGCCTTCCATTTATTGGCTGCTGCGCCTTTGTCTGCACATAGAGTGGTAATCTGATGCTAAGGCCCGATACAGAAGCCAGTCCAAAACAATGACCAGAGGACTGCGGGCTACCGCCGCTGCCGTCGCGCAGAATCTTCCGATGGAGATGGAAACCCGTTTTCGGCAAACGGCAGCACAGCAGCACAGCACAGCACAGCGCAGCAATTACAATATGTTTAACTACGTCAGAGCGTTATCTGCTGCTCGAAGGCTGAACTTTTTGGGTCTCTGCGCGATCGTCTCGTCCATGGGTCCATGTCAGCGATTAATCCAGCCGACTGGCTGCCTCATCAAACCCGAACCGAGCTAACCGCTTGTTAGCCCCGGCTTGGCTATGGCTCTGGGCCGCCTCATCATCGATTGTGTTATCGATGGCGTTGCCAGTCTCGGCCTTTGGTCCGACTTGCGGACTGGTCCTGGCCTCGGCTGGCCTGGCCTGCTCTGGTCTGGCCTGGAATCTCATTTGCGATTAAGTTCTTATGGCCACTGTGCACATTTCGTGGAAAGTTGGCCAGCAGATCTTTATTGTTCGATTGGTTTATTTATAATAATTAGGTGCGCTGTCCCAGCGACTTTGTTTTACTTTTGAAACTGCTCTGGCTGGGCTTATCGACTTGGCCAAGGCTGGCCCATAAATTCTTTAAGCTCGCACCTTTTTATTGTGCGCACTCACACACTCTGCATTGGTCTGGATCGGACCGGGGCACAGAGTCTCTTCTCCTGGCTATGGCTTTGGATGTGGATGCGGTTCTGTGTGCTGTGTGCTGTGTTCTGAGTTGGAGTCGGAGTCTGAGTTTGGCACTGCCTTCCTGCTGATTGCAATCGCAGTTGCGCATGCGCGAGGACCACAAAACTGAAAGAAGTGCCACAGCAGAGTGGAGTGGAGCCCCAGAGTGGAGTACCCCAGTACCACAAGCCTGTTTGCCTGTTTGCCCAACCCGGTAGCCGGCTGGAGCGCGCGTTCCTTTGGTAAATTGCTCACATTAGCAGGTTGTACGACTTATTAAGTAAGCACAATTTGCGTGGCCGCCGTTGCCGTTGCCGTTGCCGTCGCCACCGCCCAAACCAACAACAACAGAAAAAAAACAGCAACTGGAGCCACTGGAACCTCTGCCGTGCGGCAGACGAAAAACAAAAAAGAAACAACACAAGGCAGGAATACGAAAATAATGGGAAGCTGTTAAAGGTGGCGACCGGGAGCCGCCTAGCCGGACAAGTGATTGTTTTATAATTGCAATCGCAATTGCAGTTCGATGGCGAATGCGAATGCGTTGCCGCTAAATTGCCTCTTGGGGGCAGGCACATTGGGGCGGTATCGCCTCGGCTCGGCTTGACTCAACTCTTTGGTGGTAGGCTGGCTGGTTGGGCGAAATTGGCAATCCATTTGAATGAATAATTGCTCAATTATAGCCAGCGCCAAGCGCCTAACGAGGCAGGTGGAGTGCGATCCGAGTCACACTTTGTTGGGCGGAAAATTGTATTTGGAAATTTGTCCAATCTGGGCAGCATGGGCAGCATGGGCAGCCTCGGTGGAAGCGCAAGTAACTGGTTACACTTAATTGGAGTTGAGGGATTAAGTGGGATTTTCTTATGCATGAGTTTGTACACACTGTGATTCAGGGTATCGCATATTTGCCAAAAAGCAGGCAGCCAGCAAATTAAATACAAAATATTTTAGCCTCCGGCGATTTAAGCACTCAGATTAGCCCAAAAGTCTGAAAAGCGCGACAAAAATGGCGCTAAGACCGCAGCGAGACAATAAGAGACGATGGATATTTTTTTGTTTTGTTTGTATTAGGGTGAAATCGTGAAATGAAACTGGACCAGTTTAAGCGGAAGCAGCAGCAGCAGTGGCAGTGCCAGTGGCAGTGCCAGCAAGCAGCAGAAAGCAGCAGCAAGCAGTAGAAGACGGCAATGCGATGGTTTGTGATGAGGATGAGGACTG